GCAGGCGGACTCTCAACCACTGCGCCACCAGGGAAGCCCTTTCCTACTTCTTAATTACCTGAAACACTTTAATAAGATTTGTATTACCTGCTCTTTAAATATTTGACAGAACTTTCCTTTAAACCATCTGCATTTTTGCAGGGGGTCCACCTTTAAACGAGTGATCCATTTTCTCTGTGGTTACTGGGTTATTTGGGTATTCTATTGTTTCTTGAGTGAGTTTTGGTTAGCTTAATTTTTAACAGAATATTGTTTATTTTATTTAAGCTTTGAATTTCTTGGCAAAATTGGTTATATCTTCTTTTGATTTTAAAATCTCTGTTCTATCTGTGGTTATATCTCACTGTTCATTGCTAATATTGTTTAGTAAAGCCATCCTTCCTCCTTTCTTTTTCAATCTTGCCACATTGTGACTTTTGTAGTTTGTATTAGTTATTGATTGCTGTGTAACAGGTTACATCGAAACTCAGTGATTGAAAACCACAAACATGTATCACCTCACAGTTTCCCAGTGTTAGGAACCAGACGTGATGAGCTTGGGGCTTCTTCCTCAGGGTCTCACAAGTCTGCCATCAATGTGTCAACTGGGGCTGCAGTCATCTGAGGGCTCAACTGGGGTCACAGCCACTTCCCAGCTCACTCACAGGGCCATTGACTGGAGACGTCAGTGTCTCCACATGGGGCCCCTCCACGGGACAGCTCACAACAGAGCAACCACTTTTCCCAGAGCAAGGAGCCGGAGAGAGAGAGAGAGAAGGAGATGGAGATAGAGATAAAGATGCAGATGGAGAGGGAGAGGGAGATGGAGATGGGGATGGGGATGGAGATGGAGATGGAGGTGGAGATGGGGATGGGGATGGAGATGGAGATGGAGGTGGAGATGGAGATAGAGATAGGGCTGGAGAAGGAGGGAGAGAGAAACAGGAGCCACAGCCTTCTTGTAGCTTCACCTTGGAGGTGACATCCCATTGCTTCTGCTGTATTCTAGTCTGTGGAACCATCAGGTAGTCCAGGCGGGTTCTGGCTTTGCTCATCCTGCCTAATGTTTACTTTCCTTCTGATCTTCAGTCCTGTGAATCGCTTCTCTAGACCTGACTGTTCCTCTCCTTCTTCTCTCCATGGCTGTGCTCTGCTATCCACGTCTAACCTCCTGAGTTGGACACTTAGGTCCCTGCTTCTCCACTTCTCTTCTTTTCCCACATGTGCAGTTTCAGAACAGAAACTCCCTTCCGAGTGTGTGTTTAGCTGCATCCTAAGCATTTTCTTTATCGCCAAGTCCTACATGGTTTAAGTTCCATTCTGATTCTTCAGTATCTCACCTCCTCTCTGCCTTTCTTCCCCAAAGTACCGTCATTATCACCCTGTGTGAGTAGCTCACAGTTGCTTCTTTTGCTCACGCCCTTTCCTTCTCAGCCCCACTCCTTTCTTCCCGAAGTGCTTCCTCTAGCAGTGTCTTCGGCAAGGACCTGTCACTGATAAACTCGTTAGTCACGCATGTTGGAAGATGTTTTTGGTTTAAGCCCTCTCTCTCAAGTGACAATCTGACTATTGAGTTAGACTGACTTCTGCCGAGACCTTCACGATCCCCCGCTCCTTGTGGAACTCCCCCCCCCCCCCCACACACACTGTTACCTAGTAACAGCGTTAACATAGTAACCTGGTAACTGGTAACCACCAGAATGTGGCAAACGGGCTTCACACCCACGATTTGGTTATAAACGCCTGTGACCTCCACCTTGCTGGAAGACTCCTGTCACCAAGATGCCATTTGGGAGAAGCCCGTGAGGCCAGCAAGTGAGGTGCCTCAGCCCAACAGCCAGGGGCAGCCAAGCACTGAGTGAGTCCGGCAGCAGACCCTTCCCCAGGGGCGCCTTCGGGCGGGACCCCGACCCGGGCCAGCGCCTTGACTGCGGCCTCGTGAGACCATCAGGCCAACCCCGGCCACTCCCGTGTTCCTGACCGGCAGAAGCTGAGATACTAGACGTGTTCTGTTCTAACTTGTTGAGTTTGGGGTAATTTTTGTATCCCACAGCAGATAACCGTGCTGTGTGTAAAATCCCGTCAATAGTTATTTTATCTCGAGACTTTGACAAAATAGGTACATAGTTATTGTTTGTTTTCATCACCTTAACAAGTCTGCTGTCGCCATCGCTACTGTGGAGGTATCTGGGGTGCTTTCGTCTCCTGAACTGTTTGCCTTTTGTGCTCTGTGGTTTCTCTCCCACACGTACAGGCGCAGGTTCCTTTTTCCAGCTCTAGACTCAGGTGCTCCGGAGTCCGAGGACTGCATCTCTCAGCCGGGGGAAAGTTCCCAGGCGTCATCGTTCCTTCCTCACCCTCTCAGGCTCCCTGAATGGCAGCCCCTGGACACTCTGCCTGCCCCTCTGCGTCCCCCGCACTCCACGCCGCGTCCTGGGTGGCGTGCACACACCTGGCAAACTCAACGTCCAGGGGCTTCCCGGCCGCTCACCCAGCGGCCGGTTCCTTGCAGTGAGTGTGGCTTCCTGCTGGAGGTTCCATTCTCCCCACCGGGGGTCTCGTCCCTGCTCGCTCGCCTGTCCTCTTATTCCCTTAGTCCTGGCAGTGCCTCACCGTGTGGACCGGCCGGCCGTGTGGAGACTGCGCCTGCTGCCCCCGGCCTCCCTCTCCCGCTTCCCATTGTGAGTTCACCTTCACTGGTCAGAATCCAACGGTGCTGGAAGGAGAGCTTCTCCCCGCAGTGATGATATGTTTGCCTCTGTCCTGGGCCCCGCGGGTGTCGTTGGCCGAGGCCCAGCTCCGTGTCAGTTTGTCTGCTGCGGGGGTGACGGGGCCTGTACTGTGAGACCCGTGAAGATCCAGTGTCTCAGCTCCAGGGAGGCTCCGAGCCCTGTGTCTGAGCAGCCCAGGCACACAGGCCTCCTACTTCGTGTTCCTCCCTGCAAGGGCCCTCGTCTCAGGAGGGCTGATGCGGGTGTCAAGACGGACACCCTGAGACTCTGAGACCAGCTCTCCTGGGTGCCACCCGTCTGCCCTCACTCTGTTTGTGTCCGGCTGCTGGAATATCCCAGCTTTCTCAGGAGCTGGTTCCACATGGAAAGGATGCTGCTTCCATCTTGCCTTTGCGAGTTTGGAGTGGGGGGGGCCTGGGGCTCTGCCGTCATGGGTAACGCCAGAGCGGGGAGTCTCCTTTCGCTTTGTTTCTAAGATCATTTTCCGGTCTGGTCTTCAGAACGTTTGCCATTCCCCTCTGTGCCGATTTTCTAGGGCTGCCCTTTCAAGCCACAAACTGGGTGGCTTGTACAACAGCAGTTTATTGTCTTAGTTCTGGAGGCCAGAAGTCCACGTTCAAGACGGTAGTAGGTGGTTACTTCTGAGGCTCTGAGAAGAACCTGTCCAGGCCTCTCCCCTCGCTCTGGTGGTTGCTGGAAACCTTTGGCCTCACCCTGATCTCCGTCGCCATCTTCACCCAGCCTTCTCCCTGTCCCAATGTCTCTTTCCTCCTCTTATAAGGACACCAGTCATTGGACTAGGGCCCACCTTACTGACCTCATCTTGATTTGATTACCTGGAAAGCCCCTCTCTCCAAATAAGGTCACATGTGAGGTCCTGGGGGCACGAGTCAACCCATAGCAGACTCTGTTACCTGGAACTCACAGGTTCCATGTTTCTGCTGAACTCACCAAGGTGACCTGTCTCAAGAGGAGCTCTGCACTGGCGGGACACTTTCTCCCTGAACGTCCAAGGTCACATCCACACGCTTACCAGGAGAGCCTCCTCAGGGCTGGGAGCTGGGCCGGGGGGCCTTGCCAGGGGGTGGGCCCCCCACGCGTTCCCCAGCCCCACACATCAGGGCGTAAGAAGCAGCCTTCGGGTAACGTGTTTCATCGAGTCCCAGCCAGCCTGCCCTCTTTATGATGGAGGAAACTGGGACCTGGGGGGAGGCGGAGAACACCCACCCAGCCACCGCAGCCCCTCTCCACCTCTCCACCCTCGGAGCACTTCACAGTCTGCAATCCCCTTGAAGGTAGACGTCATTATCCTTCTCATCTTACGGCTGAAATCCTCAGTGTCACGGAAGTTGTATAAGTTGTATGGTAGTTTTCAGTTTGGATAACAGGTACTGTAGGTATTTGTCCATTTCTGTTTCAAGTGCACCCGTGGTGGTTTTGCTGACCAGCCGTTTCTGGCCATGTGTCCGGCTGGCAGCCGGGGACTCTCCTTCAGCACCTCACCATGGTTTCCAGGCCCTGCGTTTGTGGACCACGACAAGACGCTGAGACTTTACTGACCAGGAAACCTGAAGCCTGGGGTGGAGCGATGGGCGCTGGGTAGGGCGCTGACCCTCGGCCTCAGAAGTGTGCTCAGGCAGCGGAGCAGTGGACGCAGCGTCCCTCCTGGTCGGTTCCAGCGTGAAATGACTTGGAATGGAGCACGGCTCCCACACATGGCCAGCACGAGTGTTTAAACTGAGTTCAAGGCCACAGACGCGGGGCCCCACGAAGAACATTTGTTTTTTAACCAAAACGCTCGCTTCTGGTTCCTTATGGGTGTGGTATCCCCGAGCCCCACTGTTCCCTGGTCACGGCTTCCCCACCCAGGTGACTCTCCGGGGCCTCCTGAGCTCAGGCATGTGGTGGGCCCAGGCACAGGAGAAGGGAAGGGGTGCCAAGGCGGCTGGCACGCACGCCCCGTGCGCGCGCGCGCGCACACACACACACACACACACACACACACACACGGCACCTGCTGGTCCCAGGCCAGGAGGGGGGAAGGAGGGAAGGACGCAGCGGGAGAGCCGGAGCAGAGCCGCACTGCAGGAAGCAGGGACACACTCGCGGGCCACGCGGTCACATCTGGGAGCACGTGCGGGGAGACACAGAACTTTGTGGCTGGAGCCCCAGTGCCAGAAGACGGTGCTCGGGGACACCGGGACAGGGGTCAGGGCCAAAGAGGAGCCCCGGGAAAGCAGCCACGCGGCCGTGGCGCTGGGCTGGGGGAACGTCACTCAGTCTCAGCTGCACCTGTGAAGTCCCTGGTGCTTGCTTTTGCTACAAAATGAACCTACGGGTGAAAGGAAGCCTAGAAAGAAACTCGAACTCTGCCTGGGATGGCCTGCTTCTGGGTGGTCCCTGGTGGAGTCCAAAGTCCGATTCAGAGTGTGAGAGCTGTCCAGGCCTTCTCCTGGATTGCCACATGGGGTCCCTGCCCTGTGCACCCCACCGTCCAGCAGCGGGAATAGAAGCCCCTGCCCCTGCTCTGTGAGCCCACGGTCTCCCACCTCTCCTGGCCTCGGCCCTCTGTCCCCCTAGCTCCTCCAGGCCTTAGAGTTTGCTTCTCCCTTTTCTGGAATGCTCTTTTCCCAGATCTCTGCAGGGCTGCCCCTTCCCCACATCAGGACACTGCGCCTTTCCCCTTCTCCGGGACCCCACTGAGCCCACCGTGGGCCCATCGGCCCCCAGGTTCTCCCCTCTGCGCAGCCCACTGGCACGGGGCAGCCAGGAGACCCTCAGCACAGCGGCCCCAGTGGTGTGAAAGTGGGGAGCAGCCAGTGCTCCCCGATGCCGAGGAGAGCCTCAGAGCCCCTTTGTTCAACCGGAAGCTGGATCCCGAGGCCACCTCTCAATGCCAGTAGGAGAGACAGCTTTCCTGGGGGCGCCCACGTTGCGCCCTCAGGGACCGCCAAACACAGGGAGAGTGAATGTCCCACAGCAACTGATGAGACCAGGGAACATGGCTGGATGCCGAACTGATTGTTTCATAAATTATGCAGGTATCTGAACACGTTTCAGCATAAAGACAAAGGCTCTTTTCTTGTCCACGGAGAGAAAAGTAAAACATTAACCTCTGGCGTTAGAGAAACGTCTCGCATTCCTCAAGAAGCCTGTGCTTGGGGGGGGGGGGGGGGGGCAGCACCTCTGTGACCTGGCGGGCGGCCTGGTCTCTGGAGCAGCATATTCCGGTCTTCCTGGGCTCAGGGCCACTTTCTGCCATCCGCAGAGTTAGGCTAAGTTCCCAGGACATACTTTGGGTACAAACGCGGGTCCAGCCCAAGAGCGAAGGGCTGGGGTTCCT